CACAAAAATTTTCTGTTTTTGTTTTTTGGGGTTTGTTGTTGTCATCTGAAAGTCTTACAGTTTTATGTTTTACATTTAAGTCCAGGATCCATTTTGAGTTCATTGTTGTATAAGGTGCAAGGTTTAGGTTAAGGTTCATTTCTTTGCCTACAGATGTGCAATTGCTCCAGCACTGTTTGTTGAAAAAGCTATCTTTCCTCTATCTAGCTGATTTTGCAGCTTTGTCAAAAATCAGTTGCACATCTGTGTGGGTCCATTTCTAGGTCTTCTGTCCCATTGATCTGTGTGTCTATCCCTCCAATACCATACTGTCTTGATTACTGAAGCTAGAGTTTTATTTATGTTTATACTATGTTGTTGGTGCATATAATTTACAGAATTATCTTCCTTGTAAATTAACTTTTTTTATCTGTGGTGAGTTTCTTTTTACCTAAAATGCTTATTGAATTAAAGCCTATATCATCTGATATTTATTTTTTTTCCCTCTTGTCCCTCCGTATTATTCCTATTATTCCTTTATTCTTTAGTAGTAGAATTCACAATTTTAACTGGCCACGAGGCCTCTGAGAATAACGACTATAGTCCCTCTGAATTAGGCATGGCCTTGAAGTTCTGGCCAATGGAAAGTACACAGAAATGGTATCTACAACATGTTCAGAGTCCTTAAAGAAAGATCTTTCTGACCTCTTTCCTGCTGGTTGGAATGTGGATGCGATGGCTAGAATCTGAGCAGCCATCCTGGGCCAGAAGGTAGAAGCCACATATTGAGGATGGTGAAGCAACACGTTACAAAGAACCTGAATCCCTGGTGATTGCAGATCAGTATACCTGCAGCTGACTGCTTATATCCGGACTTAGTTTATGTGACAAACAAGCTTCTATCTTGTGTAAGCCACCATTATGAGCTTACATGTCACTTGTTACCAAACTTAATTCTAACAAATACAACTAGCTTCATTTTTTAAGGACTTTATTTTTTATTTTTAGAGCGGTTTTAGGTTTACAGTAATATTGAGAGGAAGATACAGAGGTTTCCTATATACCGCCTTACCCCCACCCCATGTGCATGCGTGCACTCACACACGCGTGCTCGTGCGCGCGCAAACACACACACACACACACACACACACACACACACATATCCGGACTTAGTTTATGTGACAAACAAGCTTCTATCTTGTGTAAGCCACCATTATGAGCTTACATGTCACTTGTTACCAAACTTAATTCTAACAAATACAACTAGCTTCATTTTTTAAGGACTTTATTTTTTATTTTTAGAGCGGTTTTAGATTTACAGTAATATTGAGAGGAAGGTACAGAGGTTTCCTATATACCGCCTGACCCCCACCCCATGTGCATGCGTGCACACACACGCGTGCTCGTGCGCGCACACACACACACACACACACACACACAGAGTCACAGCCACATTATTAACATCACTCACCAGATGGTACAACGAGCTTCATTTTCATTTTAATTAGGTAGGGTAGCAGTAACAGAGACCCAACCACAGAGGCTTAAACACATTTGAGATTTATTTCTGTCTTGCATAGAAGTCCAGAGATGGGCAGTTGAGGGCTGGTGAGGTGGCTCTGTGGTCACCAAAGACCAAGTCTCCTGTTATTTTGCTCCAGTTCTTAGTGCAGAGCTGCCCTCCTCAAGATCACCTTACTGTCCAGGAAGGCTGCGACAGCTCCAGCCCTCACTTCTGCATTTAAGGTAATAGGAAAGAATAAGCAAGGGAAGAGCTTTCCTCAGTTCTCTGTCTACCTTCTAAGGAGTCATCACACAAGTACCACCCACTAAAGTCCTCTTACAACTCACTGGTCCAGAAATTAGTAACATGGTCACAGCTAACTGCAAAGGAAATTGGAGAATGCAGTCTTCAGCTGAGTACAATATCTGAGTAATATCAGGGCATCGTTACTATAAAACAAAGGAAGGATGGATATTACGTAAGCAACTGGAAGCCTCTGCGACATCTGGATATATGCTTCCATCACTTTACCTCAGTGTTTCCATCCTTATGTTTTGGTGTATATCTTATAAGGAGTGTGTAGCTAGACTTTGTTTTAATCTACCTAATCGGTATAGTCTGTTTATATTCATTGTGATCGCTAGTATATTTGGATTTCTTTGTAACGTGTACTTTGTGCTTCTACCTTCCTTGCTCTTTTATTTTTTATTTTTTTCTCCTTTTCTTGTCTTTTATTAGATTGATTAAAGTTTCTTTTCCCTTTTTCCACTGGTTTGGAAGCCCTAGAATCTCCTTCTAATTTTTATTGGTTATCTTTAATTTCTTTTTTTAACAATCATGCATGATCAAAGTCTAAAATTAATGTTTTTATTTCTCCCAGACGATCCAGGGAACTCCTGTAATTACTCTCTTCTTAACTTATATGTTGTCGTTATCATGTAGTGTTTTAGCATCAACTTGTTTTAAACCCACTCAACACTAGTCATTACTGGCGCTATCTTATTTTACAGTAATGCTTACAAGTTTTTCCTTGTTTACCAATTTGCTTGTTCACCACTGTTTCTTATATCCACGTCTTCCTTCTCAATTTAATTGCCATCTTCTTGAAACCTTCTTTAGTAGGTCTGGGAGTAGCAAACTTGCTTGAGCTTTGCCTGGAAATACCTGTCTTTTCCCCTTATCCCTTTATGATAGTTTGACTGTATAATTCTAGATACAGAGGCAGTTTCCCTCAGAACTTCGGAGATGTTATCGTGTTCTTCTGGTTTCTGATGTCGCTGTAGAAATCCTCAGTCTGTCTGGTTCCCGTGCCTTTTTCGGGAAATCTGTCTTTCCTCCTGGTTTATCTTAAGATAAACTCTTTGTTTTTGTTATCTACTATTTTACCTTGCATGTTCTAGTGTAGAATTATTTTTATGTATCTGTTCGAGATTTAGGTTTCCTGAATATGAGGATATGGGTCTTTGATCATTTCTGGAAAACTCTTGGTTTTTCTCACTTTGAATGGTGGCTCCATTCTTTCCAGTCCCTTAGGCTGACTAGATGCGTGCTGGGACTTCTCATCCTGTCCTCAGCATCTCCGCTTCTCTTTCACATTCTGTTTATCTCTCCGCGATGCCTGCTGTGTGATGTCTTCACAGCACTATTTCAGTTTACTGAGTCTCGTGTCAGCTGGCTTATTCTGCTTTTCAACCATTTGTTCCATTTATTTCAAGGCTAATATTTTTCATTTCTAGGAGCTGCATTCGGTTCTTTTTATTTGTCATAGTATCGTCGTCTTAGGGTTCTGACTCCTACTTTTATAGAGATTTGGTTTTCATCGACCTTAGTTCCTAGTAGTCCAGATTGTTATTCTCTGACTTCAGGTGTTGGTCGTGCTAGTCTGCAGTCATTTTGTTCCCTCTGCTGACTCTGCAGGATTGTTTCGAGTATGTTTTATAATTTTAGATGGCGAATTAACTTCAGGGTTTTGTTTTCCCCGAAAGAGTTTCATGTAAAAAGAATGGAGAGTATCCTAGGAGAGCGGTTTTGTGTTTGCGTCTGCCATTTGCCCCAGGAATATCACAAGCCTGGGATTTTACACAGGTTCCTTGGCATGGCAGTCCCCACCAGGTAAATTCAGACGTCATGCAAGTGACAGGTACGGCGTGGGAGTTCAGATTCTCACGGGAGACTCCCATCCCCCTCCCTTTTCCTCGTTGCCTTTCCGTGGCGGCGTGCAGTTTCTAGTCGTTGGTTTGAGGCTCTTTAGTCTCCTCTCCTCAACCCTCACCTTGGGGCTTCTAACCGAGCTGCGGTCCTTTGGGGCTCCTGGCCTGCACACAGTGGGCTTCGTTACAAGCCTCCTCTTCTGGACCAAGGCCTCGTCTCCTGTCGGCGGGTGCGTGCGTGTGAAAACCCAAAGCCCTCGCTCTTTTCAAGTGCATTTCCCTTTAGTGGCTGCAGCAGCAGCTCTTGCACCTGCTACTCTTCACGTCTGATGTTTGGAGACTCTCCCTTTTCTCTTACTATTCAGCCATGAGTAAAAACAGCGGATTACATTTTATCCACACTTTCTAAGTCTTTGCGGCTGCAGTTTGTTTTCACTTATTTGCTTCCTGTCTAAACTAGAAACTCTGAGTTAATCTCTCTAAGCCCCAGTTTCCTCTTCTGTAAAGTAATAGCACCTCCTTCGTGAGCAAGGTGTTAAATGAGACAAAGCAGATAAAACGCTTAGCACATGGCCTGGCACAGGGTAGGAACTCGATAAATATGAGTATCATTATTGTTACTCTAAAAAATTTGGAAAGTCTGGAAAAATATAAAGTAAATAAATGCAGTACTATCCACTGAAAATTATGGTTAGCACTTTAATATAGTTCTAACCTTTATTCATATGCATTTTCGCACATTACTTATAAGACAGAAATGGCGCTGTACATACAACTTCGCGTCTGCTTTTCTCATCTGATCTGAGATCAGTGAGCGGCATGTTCAGGTTTCTGTACGGGCCCTCTTCCTGGCTCGCAGATGGCCACCTCCTCACTGTGTCTTCACATGGAGAGAGACAGACAGACAGACAAAGAGCTCCCTGGTCTCATTTTATACGGACACCAATCCCATCGTGAGGGCCTGACTCCCATGACCTCATCTTATTCTAATTACCTCCCAAAGGCCTCATCTCCAGATACCATCACATTGGGGGTTAGGGCTTCAACATGAAATTTGGGGGACATAATTTAGTCTGTAGCAATCAGACTTCCCTATTTAACAGCTGCCCCTCAGCTTGGAAGCTTGTCTGTGACCGTAGCAAGAATGAGATGGTCAGATTTACATTCTTCTCTGACAAAGTCCACCTTGGCGGGAAAGTCCAGGGGGCTGAGAGCACAGTGAGGTCCAGAGAACCCATGAAATGCGTGTGGTTGGGGTTTGGGGAATGAACTCTGAGTGTGTCTGCTGGACGCCAGCGTCCAGCCAGGTGACAGGCCGAAGTGACCCCGTCTTCTCTGCTCCCGCCCTCGCATCCTTCCCCCTGCAGATCGTGATGGGATTGGAGCTTTCTCCTCCAGTCACTTTTCAGCTCCGGGCTGGCTCTGGACCCGTGTTCCTCAGTGGCCAGGAATGTTATGGTGAGTCCGAGCTTGGGCCTGGGGAAGGTCTGAGAGTGCAGTGCCCAGCACAGAGCCAAGGGCATAATAGGTACTTGAACACTTGAGGGATTCTTGAATTATTAGAGAAAATTCCCAAAGGCAACATGATTGCCAGTAGCCTGGACGGGAAGGCCATGGGCTCGGTTACTAAGCCCAGTTCTCATCTCCTGGCCATGCCCTCTGTGGGCCGCAGCCCCCTCACCTGTAACACGAGGCTCGGTGTATACCTGGTCTCATCTTCAAAGAGGAGTTATGAGGAATAAATGGGATATTCAGAAAGAGCAGTGAGCACAATGACTAGTGCTGGTCCGCACTGACATGTTGTCTGCTGTGGAGTACGCAGCCGTAGGGCAGCATGGGCCCTAGCACGTCACTGTGCTGTTGACCCTCCTCACATCCCGTTAATTGGCCCTCTTCTGTGTCTGGTTGTGCTGCTTTCATCGGGGTGCTCGCCTGCCCCAAACCCCGGCAGGGTTCACCTCCCTTAGGAGAAGGTCTGAATCCCTACTCTGGGTCCCTCTGCACCCACCCGGTCCTTCCCAGAGTGAATCCCCCTCCTACCCAGTCAGGCCAGCCTGCCCCTTCCCCTGCTTCCTCCTACGGCCCCGCCCTCTGGAGCTGTCTCAAATCTCTCCCTTTGTCAGGGAGGCCAGGGGGGCTGCAGGCGAGCAGGTGGACAATTCCAGCTCCTGCTGGGGCGCCTCCAGGGCGACTCTCAAGCCAGGTAGAGACCCTGTGCTCAGAGGCCCCGCCCCACCCACCATGCCCTGCAGAGAGTGCAGACCTCTCCTGGGAGGAAGAGGAGGAGGAAGAGGAAGAGGAGGAAGAAGAAGAGGAGGAGGAAGAACAGGAGGAAGAGCAGCAGCCAGAGGAGGAGGAGGAGGACCAGGACGAAGACGAGAAGAGTTTGTCCCTGGAGGAGACGCCCGTCAAACAAGGCAAGAGGCCGGCGCCCCCGAAGCGCACCAGCATTGCCAAGGTGAGGCGGGGCCCCGGAGCTGAGTGCTCGGGGAGGCCTCGGAGCGCTGCCAGGGGCGGGTGCGGGGCGGGGGGCGGTCTGCTCAGGCCTTCACCCCAACTCTCCCAATAACACCTGCGTTTGGTCCCCAGAAAAAAAAGATGGAAAAAGAAGAGGAGGCAGCGAGGTAACTCTCTCCATCTATTAACTCGGCCAGACCCTTGCAGCTGAGGCATATAGTGTTAGAAAGAGTGGGGTGTGCCCGGTGTGTGCACATGTGCGCATACAAGGGCACGCGGGTGCCGCTACCGCAGGTTGGCATGGCCTTTATGGAAAGCGTTAAGCTGTTATCTTATGGTAACTCCCTCCAAAGGACCCCATTCGACGTACGGGGGAAATGATATCCACTAAGAAACTCGTCACTGCGTTATTCAAATAACAGTGAAAAATGGAAACATTCTAAATCTCTACCAATATAATAGTCGATTAACGCATGTCACATTCTCTCAGTGGATGTTACAGATGCCTATGAAGAATATAGCAACCTGAAAAGTGTTTATAGAATTAAAAAGAACACGATATTAAATCGTTTTCATTTTATCTCACAATTTTAGAAGAAAACAAAGTCCTGAAAGGAAATACGCCAAAATGTTAATAACATTAAGTGGGAGGTAAATAACATTAAGTAATTTATTCTGCTCTCTATTCACTCTATTTGGTGCAACGTGATTAACATTATTTTGGTAATGAAAAATACATACTTGTGAAAAAAGCAGATGGAAGCCTAAAAAGAAAAAAAAAAAGATCTCGTTTAATGAGAGAGAGTCAGAGTGGTCCCTGGCAGGCGACAGGTGAATTCTGCGGCTTCCCCGCACAGCCCCTGCTTCCCGGAAGTGTCCAGGGCCCTGCTTGCCAGCGTGGGCACTGGGAGGGCCAGGGCGTCAGGCTGAGCTCTCTCTCCCCTCCACCCCCCAACTCTCTGCCCATCCCTGTTCCAGACCCAGTAAAGACAAGAGCCCTGTGAGGAAGGTGAGTGCTGATGAGAAGGGGCTGGTCCTCCTGGGGGCGGGGGTGCCAGGACCCGGCCGGAGGGGGACGCTGGTGCTCTCCCTTCTCTCCATAGGCCAAATCCACACCCAGACCTAAAAAGCTGGGATCCAAGAAATGAGGAGCCCAGAGGGGCCTGGCCTCAGCAACCAAGGGAGGACCTGCCAGACCACCATGCAGAGGGGGCCTTCCTGGGGTGTACTGTGGACCCAGGGCGCCTCACCCCCACCCTGGCCCTCTCCATCTGAGTCTGAATGATGGTGTTGGGGGACAACACGAGAGCCCCTCAACACAACCATCCAGATTCAG